AGACCTTAGGTGCATCTGGCCCTGTATTTTCTATACTGATGGGTAGAGACTTGCCAAGGGTTCAGACAGAGGACATTCCTAATCCTATCTGGAGATGCAAGGGATTGAACCAGTGACCTTTTGTGTGCTCAGTCGAATACATGCTACCCCCACACAAAAGGTGGATGTTCTGCCCAGACAAACACTGTTATTGTTTTGCTAATGGTGATCCTTCCTTTTCCTCTTTCTGCTCCTTCTATTCACTCCCCTCTGAATCAAACAGCAACAGTGTTCATTACATAGTATCAGTGATTAAAACAATTTAGGTAAAGAGCATCCAGGTTCAGGTTTGAATTTGTTACCAGCAGAATGAATTCTCATTGTTTCCCAATGGCATTCAGTTCAACTGATATTCTGGCAACAAACGCAAAGGCATTCAGTGTGAATGGTTGGCAAAAAACTTGAAAACTGCTGAGATAATAAAATAAAAAGGAGGGTAAAAGAAGGAAGAAAGCAAAGTTTTGGGAGAAAATAGTTTTCTTTTGTTAGTTACTGCCAACATACAGTGGTACCTCGGTTTGCCTACGTCTTGGTTTGCATACGTTTTGGATTACAAACACGTCAAACCCGGAAGTGCGTGTCCGGGTTTGCAACCTCTTTTTTTGGATTACAACCCATTTATTTTTATTTTTGGACTACAAACAATTTTGGGGGGAGGCCTCATAGGCGAAAGCGCACCTTGGGTTACAACCTGTTTTGGTTTACAAACGGACCTCCGGAACGGATTATGGCTGTAAACCAAGGTACCACTGTATATATAATTTTCATGTAAACCAATGAAGATTTTAAGTTGTATGAGTAACATCTCACATAATACAATTCACTCTAGGCTTTGCACACATTGTTTTCCAGCAAGCTAATACAAATATTAAAACTACAAAATGAAAAAGCAACAAAATAAGCACACACCAAAAGACTCCTAAAAGGAACAGATCATAAACTATCAAGGAGGTAAGTAAAGGTTGAGCACTATATTACATATTGGTTTGCATCTACAAAAATAATACGATGAAATACCTAAAAAGAACTTGCCAATGCACATGGAATGCACATCCAGAACCTATGACCCTTACAGACTAATATGTTACAAAATTAGCTTTATTCATCAGTTGTACAGTAGGTTTCCTGCTCCTCAGAGAATTAGAACAAACGTCTCTTGTGTAGCCTACCTAGTAAAGACCCAATATCTCTTATGCTTTGTGGTTAGGGATGTCAGCATGCACCACTATGTCTGAGAGGCTGATTCCATGTTCAGTCCTGATGCAAAGAGATGTAGAAATACATACAGTCATGCTGATAAGCTTATATGAAGCAAGGAAGCAAAGAATATTCAGGAAGGCATAGTCAACTGAGAAAAATGGGAAACCTATGTGTTCTAAACCAGGAGTAAATCCCCTATAATACTGAGCCTTGCTCTGTTAGAGTGTGCAGTTTTTAGCCTTTACCTTTGCTTGGGAAACAAGCAGGAAATCAGCTTCAGCACAACTGAGTCTTGCATTTAAGATCCATTAATAGCTGCAGCTTGCAAGTTCTAGGCACTCATCTACCATCTGCAGAAATCAGAGTCTAGGCACCATTCTGCAGAGGACCAAGGAGAATATGCTGAAGCCCTCTGGTGAGTGTGGATTGTAAGTGGTGAGTACTTTGCAGAGAACTCGTATCCGGATGGTGAATGGCTGTGTTATAAACAATATAACACTGCAACTCTCTTCTAACAACTTCTCCTTCTCTCTGTAAGATGCGCAGCTTGGGGCTAGGTTTCTGAGAGTTACATCTGAAATTATTATTATTATTATTATTATTATTATTATTATTATTATTATTATTATTATTATCCTCAGCTTACAACATAATAAAAACATCAATCCTTAAAAAGTTCCCTAAACAGGGCTGCCTTTTAGAAGAACAGATAGTTGTTTATTTCCTCGACATCTGATGGGAGGGCGTTCCACAAGGAGGGCGCCCCTATCGAGAAGGCCCTCTGTCTGGTTCCCTATAACCTCGCAGTAAGGGAACTGCCAGAAGGCCCTCAGCACTGGACCTCAGTGTCTAGGCTGAACGATGGGGGTGGAGACATTCCTTCAGGTATACTGGGCCAAGGCTGTTTAGGGCTTTAAAGGTCAGCACCAACACTTTGAATTGTGCTTGGAAATGTACTGGGAGTCAGTGAAGATCCTTTACAACAGGTGTTATATGGTCCTGGCAGCCACTCCCAGTCACCTTCAAAGGTAGCCCTACATACAGCACATTGCAGTAGTCCAAGTGGAAGATAACCAGAGCATGTACCACTCTGGCAAGATAGTCTGCGGGCACGAAGGGCCTCAGCCTGCGAACCAGATGGAACTGGTAAACAGCTGCCCTGGACATAGAATTGACCTGTGTCTCCATGGACAGCTATGAGTCCAAAATTACTTCCAGGCTACACACCTGGTCTTTCAAGGGCACGGTTATTCCGCTCAGGACCAGGGAGTCCTCCACACTCACCCACCCCCTGTCCCCCAAGAACAGTACTTCTGTCTTGTCAGAATTCAACCTCAATCTATTAGCTGCCATCCATCCGCCAACCGCATCTGCTACAACAGATAGTAAGTACAGTGGTACCTTGGGTTAAGTACTTAATTCGTTCCGGAGGTCCATTCTTAACCTGAAACTGTTCTTAACCTGAAGCACCACTTTAGCTAATGGGGCCTCCTGCTGCCGCCACGCCGACAGAGCCTGATTTCTGTTCTTATCCTGAAGCAAAGTTCTTAACCTTGAAGCACTATTTCTGGGTTAGCGGAGTATGTAACCTGAAGCATATGTAACCTGAGGTACCACTGTACCTGTATATATTTCCCACCACTATCATTACCAATCAAAAGGCAAGTGTGTATGATAAAATAATTTATTGAGATACAAATATTAAAAGATCTAATGATTGATTAGGGTTACAGAAGTGTATGCTTCTAGTTTTACAGCGTCTTATTGGTTACATACAGCACAGTGACTAATAACAATGCTGGGCCTCCTTTATTAAACTAACTCTGCCACCACCCAAACACTCTTCCCATATCTCACCGCAATTACCACACAATTGTTTCTCTGAACTGTCTCCCATTATTCACACTCCCTTTCAAATTCTTATCCAATCACTACTCACTTCCCACATTCCAAGCAGACTCTCTTCCTCTCCCAACCAAACTCATACCCCAATTCATATATTATTGTTACCTACACATTTACTACTTATTAGTTTACCATAGTTTCTGTAATATTATTACATATCCGCACGATATTATTTACATAAATTCCAGATTTGCAGTGCCCATATTTCTTCCTCCCTCCTCAAACAATTCAGCTGTGTTTGAAGAATCCATGCCAAAATAATTCATATTGAACTGCTGAAAAATGGGGACCTCATAACTTTACACCGGCACCAAAATTCACTGATACATGGAGACAACCAAAAATTTAGAGACAAACAACTGAGGGTCACAGTCCTCAGACATCTGGTTTGCCACTGTGGGAGAAAAAATATGATGGATTGCTTAGTGTCATGAGGGAGCTGACAGGCAACACACTTAGTGAACAGCCAAGAGAAACCAGGCATGCAGCAAGCTTCTTCTTCAGTTCATTTATTAGTATCAAGCAGAAACGCATGGAGTGTACTCCCTCAAAGCTTGAGCTGTTGCCCAGAGTGTCCTCTCTTCACCAGATCACTTTCTATGTGTCAGCCCCCTCATGCTGCCTATGGCTGTTGCCAAAGGACTGTTTCTGTCTCTGCCTGATTTTCTGCTCTGTGACATGGATGAAACACCTGGTCTTAGGAAAGGAGAGGGATGTGGCAGGCTCTCAAGGGACATACTATCAACTGACTCCGGTACTGTCTCTTTCACATCTGGTTAATGCCTCTGTTCAGAGCCGGTGCACCTGCTGGCTTCCCCCTGTTCCTCACTGTGGCGTTTGCCTCCTAGGATGGGTCATAAGGAAAGGGTTAAAATGGGTGTGATGTGATTGGCCAGTGAGAATGCAAGGGGGGAGTAAAAGTTAGAGTGGGAGGTTTTGAAAGTCAGTTGAGGTTTGGGAGTTGGAGAAGGAAGAGGGAGGAATAGGCAGTGGGTTGGTTGGTTGAGTTGTATTGTGAGAGAGTGAGAGGAATTGTTTGGTTGAGTCAGACAGATAGTTGGAATAATCAGTTTGGAGTTGTTAGGAACTAAGATTAAGAAACTGACAAGAGAAAAATAAACAGAATCCATACGCTTGTTCCTGCATTTAAAAATAAACTTGATTATTTGTTAATGTTAACAACTGTCTGGACTGTGTGTCCCTGTGAGAGAAGCGGGGTGGTGGCAGCAGTGAAGAAAGCAATCACAGTGGTGGCACAGGGTAAATAGACTGTCAAACGTCCGGGGGACCTGTGTGATCGCCACACTCACCCTCCAATATGTCCCAGTTCCTTTCTTCTGGGGTGTGTCCTGTTTCCTACCACCATTAACCTGGGTCCATATTACCTACTTCTGTGCTCTCCCTGGAAGCCTCCTGGTCAGGCGGTCTCCACCACTCCTCCAGTGTGGTGTAGTGGTTAAGAGTGGTAGTCACGTAATCTGGGGAACCGGGTTCGCGTCTCCGCTCCTCCACATGCAGCTGCTGGGTGACCTTGGGCTAGTCTTTGAAGTCTCTCAGCCCCACTCACCTCACAGAGTGTTTGTTGTGGTGGAGGAAGGGAAAGGAGATTGTTAGCTGCTTTGAGACTCCTGAAGGGGGAGTGAAAGGCGGGATATCAAATCCAAACTCTTCCTCATCCAGCCAGTCCCTGACACATAGAGACCTTGATTGGTTTCAGCAAGTCCATTCTTAAATATGTGAGGAATTACTGTATTGATTTAATGGGAGTGAATCAACACTAAATGACTTCTGCTTTTGGAGAGGCCAGCCTTATTGACTCATTTTCCTTCACTTTGTTTTCAGAGAAGTGCCCAGAAATGAGGAACAAGACTGTTGTGAGGGAATTCATACTCCTGGGCTTCAGTGACAAATGCTGGCTTGAAATCTTGATCTTTCTCCTGCTCTCCACCACATATTTTCTGACCATATTGGGAAACACAGTGATTATTCTGATCACGCTGGTGAATAACCAGCTCTACACCCCAATGTATTTCTTCCTTCGACATCTTGCAATTGTGGACATTGGTTTCACCAGCACCGTCCTTCCAAAAGCTTTGACCAACATGGCCAATGGCCAACGGACTATCTCCCTACCTGGTTGTTTCACGCAGGTGTATCTATACCTGGTTGTGGGAACCACAGAGTTTGCTCTGCTGGCGGTCATGTCCATTGACAGATATGTGGCTATCCGCAACCCTCTTCACTACTCAACCATAATGAATGGCCGAACCTGCTCATTGATGGTGCTCTGCTCTTGGGCTGGGGGATTTTTGCTTATCATGGCTCCAGCAATTACATTATTTCAAATGCCCTTTTGTGGTCCAAATGCCATGGACCATTTTTTCTGTGACATTGGGCCTCTGATTAAACTGGCATGCACAGATACAAGTCTTCTGGAACTTATGGTTCTCCTCATTGCTGTTTTTTCTCTCCTCGGGACCTTGGCTATAAACATTGTATCCTACATCAATATTATTTCCACCATCATGCGCATCCCATCAACAGCAGGGAGGCAAAAGGCTTTCTCCACTTGCGCTTCTCACAGCATCGTGGTTTCTCTCGGCTACGGCAGTTGCATTTTCATGTACATAAAACCAAAAGGCGCCAATGAATTAATTTTCAACAAAGGGGTGGCTCTTCTGAACACTGTGGTGGCCCCTCTTCTCGTCCCTTTCATATATTGCCTTAGGAACAGACAGGTCCAGGATGCCTTGAGAGGAACAACTAGGCAATTTGTTGGGAGGTTTTGTAAGACTCCAAGTTGATTTTGGGTAGGATTTGGCATCAAAATCAGGAACCTTTGGGTGCCGGCTGCAATAGGCAACCATTTCCATTAAATTCTGTTTTGTGGAACGGGTCACATTCACACCATGCATTTAAAGCAGTGTTGCGCCTCTTTAAACTCCCATGGCTTCCCCTCAAAGTATCCCAGGAACTGTAGTTTATTAAGGGTTCTTAGAGTTGTTAGGTGTCAGGGACCATGCTGAGGAGGCTACAATGAGGAGGCATGGTGGGAGCAACTGCCTCCCCCTGACCCTGAATCTCCCCAGGAGCATGAGGACAGTATAGATGTAGAGCAGTGGTTTGCAGAGGGGCATAGTTCAGAAGGGAAAAGCTGGGGAAATGGATGAAGAGCAGCTTGGAGAAGAAACACTGGAAGAGAGAGGGTTAAGAGATTCACAGTTGTTGTATAGCATCCCCCTTCCCTTCCCTCTCCACATTCTAGGAGAGCTGAGAAAATTGCTGAACAGAAAGTACAGCAACTGCAGGCTCGGGTTACCAGACATAGGGGTGACGTAGATTGGGAGGGGGTGGTGTGTGTGTGGCCTTAATTGGAAGTACCGCCATTCTTAGTGGGAGACATTTGTTATCCCTCGCTGTGATTCTTATAGAATTCAAACTGGTAAGAAGACTCCACTCACTTTGTTTTGCTTATCTACTGCCAAGGGAGGAGGAAGCCGATTCCTTGAAGCCTGACATTAGGAGATCCCCTTTTCCCCTTCCGGAGTGGTTTAACAACTCTTAACCCAGGAAGTGAGGGATGAGCCTGTTTGAGAGCTGCTGTATAAGGGTCTCTATATACTAATGGAAGTCCTCACATTTATCAGTTGTGGATATTTCTGTTGTAATCTTTGGAAGAATCAGGTCTTCTCTACACATTATCAGTATGTACTGGCAGCTTTTTCTGAATGGATATCGTATGTGCTCAACAGAATTAGTGATGGGGAACGAGTTTTTTCAGTTCACATTTCAAGATGAGCCCACCTAATTCACACTTTCTGAAATAATGTGAGAACCAAAACATGGCCATTCTTTGAAATTTGCACCTCCTTGAATTTGTTTGTATTGGATCCCTTGCTATTTTGTATTTATTTGGATATCCGAATCTAGTTATCTCTTTTGCCTTTGCTGATTAATAAATTTGGTTTAAAAAAAATAAAGCCAGAGGGAGGTTGCTTTAAAGAAAAAAAAATTAACTCATAGTGAGTTCTTTCCTTGAATCTTACGGGATTACTTTCCAATTGTTCTAAAATGACCAAGTTAAAGAATGGGGCACTTCAAAAAGCTATGTTTTTAATCATGACTGATCGTGCTGCGGTGTCAGGCTGCGTTGTCAGCCAAGAATCAGAGAAATGATAGTTCTTACCAAGCAATTTATTCAATAATTCACAGAGAGTGACGAAGGAATGCAGCCTTCCCTAATAATGGTGTTGCTGCAAATAAAGTCCCACCCCCCATGTGTCTTCCCTATTCTGCATCACCCCTGCATCGGCTAATCTGAGCTTTCTGTCTCTGAGCTTTCTGTTTTACTACCTTCAATGCACGCCTGGTCCTGGGAAGGGGGTCAGGTATGCTTTCCAAGGACACTGAGTTTGTCAGCTGTCTCTCTCCTGGTGCTTCTTCTTCCTGCTGTTCCTCTTCCAATATTTCCCAGCTTCTGCCCTCTGCAGTGTTTTACTAAATACTGTTCTAAATCTATACTGTCCTCCTGTTCTCGGGAAGGTTCAGGAGAAAAGGGGATTGGCCTCCACCATTCCTCCTCAGTCCAGCCCCTGACATGGGGTCACGCCTGTTTCCCAACGTTGCAAGAAAAGGTGTGGAGGTGCACCCTGAGGGAAGAGTTGAGGCAGGCCTTCAACACTTCTGTTGGGATTCTGTCTTATCCTGGGAGTTGATGGTGTTCTTCAGCTCATCAGGGGGAGGAAGGACATCTAACTCTTCCAAGATAGGCAGAGTCTGGATGCAGTCAATGGCTGTGTCAGCAACCATGCTTTCCTGCGAGTACAGTTCTTGATAGAACCTTCAAGGAAGGAGAGTCCACAACCTTCCAAGGGAGTCCATTTCACTGTAGGACAGCTCTTACCCTCAGAAAGTTCCTCCTGGTGTTTAGTTAGAATCTCCTTTCTTGTAACTTGGAGCCATTGGTTTGAGTACTACCAACCAAATAAATAGTTTGTACTACCAACCAAATAAGTAGTTTCAACAAACTGCTGGGAAAACCAGTTTTCTGGGTGCAATTCACAATATATTCCAAGCACTTGAACAAAAATGTATTTCAGGTGTATTTGATTTTGCATTTCATTTCATTAATTTACTTTATTCTCCTTTTACTCCAAGGAGTCAAGCAGAAATCCACAAATCAATTCATTAACTTATGTCTGAGTAGGGATATGATCGCAAGTCTCCCTATGCTTAGCTGGACTCTAACCCATTCAACACACAAATCCGCTTTAAACTACATGCCAATATCAATTATCCTTCAACCAGGCTATATTTAAACCTGAAACCATGTGTGTGTGTGCTACTTTACAAAGCAGGAGGGCAGCACTTAGCTGCAAGGTCTAGGAAATGCATTCCATTACCGTGTACATTTTGTCACCTCTCTGTGTGCATTCTAATGTTGATTCATTATATAGATCAATAAATATTATAAAATTCCAGGGATGGGCAGAAGGTATATTAGAATAGGTAAAGGTAAAGGGACCCCCTGACCATTAGGTCCAGTTGTGGCCAACTCTGGGGTTGCGGCGCTCATCTCGCTTTATTGGCCGAGGGAGCCAGCGTACAGCTTCCGGGTCATGTGGCCAGCATGACTAAGCCACTTCTGGCAAACCAGAGCAGTGCACGGAAACGCCATTTACCTTCCCGCCGGAGCAGTACCTATTTATCTACTTGCACTTTTGATGTGCTTTCGAACTGCTAGGTTGGCAGGAGCAGGGACTGAGCAATGGGAGCTCACCCCTTGGTGGGGAATCGAACCACGACCTTCTGATCGGCAAGTCCTAGGCTCTGTTGTTTAATAGCTACTGTTAAATCCATGGTTGATTTGTAGTAGATCAGGCAAAGTTTCTGACTCTCAACTGTCTGAAAATAACAGCAGTTAAAAATCTCCTCCACCTTCTAAATCTGGCTACTGAAAAGGCATTATCATAGTTCAATGATATGTTCCACTCATACATAGTGTGTGGTTTGGGGAAAGTCCTGAAAATCAAAAAGAGAGGCCTGGAGAACCACATCTGTCTCCCAACCCTGAGGTAGCTCACCCCTGATAAACAAAATGCACCTGTCTTAGGACTATATAGTTCCCTCTTCATCTCAGAGAATGACGTTATGGTCCACTACAGTACATTTAGTTCAACTGTAAGGTAAAATTGCAGGTAAAATCACCACAATTCTTTCTATCATACAAAGTTTCTGGCGATCTTCTCACAAGCGAACAAGAGCTTACATGAAAGGGTGTAGCTGAAGACAGATTTTTGAGGAATTGAACATGAGGGTCACTGGAAAGTTCCAGCTATGTACTGAAGTCAATGCTTTGCCCACAAAATCACAAAATTAAGCATGATTCATGAGCAACTTCCGAAGCTTCTGAGTCTCCGAAGCTTTGCCCTGACCAAAAATCCCTTGCAAGATGCCCTTGACCAAATCATTTCTCAGTGTATACACGAAAGGACTCAGGAATGGGTTGACTATGCTACTCAGTAATGCTGGAACCTTGCGAGCCCCCAAAGCAGATTTCTTAGATGGGATCACATACAGTAAGATGGAGATGCTTACAGCCATTAGGAACAAGGTGAGATGAGAGGCGCATGTGTTGAAGGCCTTCTTCCTCCCAGTGTCAGTGGGTATGGCCAAAATGGTGGAGACAATGTACGCATAGGAGATGAGAGTTAGAACCAAGGAGCAGAGGATGACCATTGTTGACAGCAGAAAAGTGATTATCTGTATCAAGCCTGTATCGGTACAGGATAGTTTCAGCAGGGGCTCACTGTCACAGAAGAAGTGGTCAATGACATGGGACTTGCAATAGGAGAACTTGGTGATCATGATGGTTGGATAGAGGACAGAGATGAACCCACCCAGCCAGCAGACCAATACCAATTGGACACAAACCTGGCCATTCATAATGATGGGGTAACGTAATGGATTGCATATGGCCACGTAACGGTCATAGGACATGGACGTCAAGAGGAAGTACTCCACTGTGGCCAAAAAGAAATAGAAGTAGGATTGGGCCATGCAGCTAGCAAAAGAAATGGTTTTGGCTCCAGAAAGAAGGCCCCTTAGCAAGCTCGGAACAGTCACAGTCGAAAAAGCAAGGTCCAGGATGGAGAGGTTGCCAAGGAAGAAGTACATGGGTGTATGGAGGCTGCTGTTGGTGGAGGTAATGAACAGAACGACCATGTTACCCAACAGTGTCAAGATGTACACAGCGATAAGAACTGTTGCCAACAGAATCTCTGCTTCACGTTGCATCAGAAAACCTATCAGGATGAAGTCTTCATATCCGGTGTGGTTTCCCATCTCTAATCTTTCAAAACAAAACAAAACACACACAACAAACAAACAACAAACAAACAAACACAAAGAGAATTTGCCTCCATAAATTGGCATGCAACAGCAATAGAATTAATTTCTAGCCCAGGTTTGAGTTTCAAAGAGTTGGAAGGGACCTCAGAAATCTTGTAGACCAACTCCCTGCTGATGTAGGCTATGTGTTGCTACACCATCCCTGAAAGGCTGTCGTCCAGCATCTGCCTAAAAGTTTCTAATGAAATCTGGGAGCCCATGGAATCGTATACAGATTCGGCTGCCTAAATTTCAAATACAGTTTTAAGGATTGTATATCAGCATTGAAAACTGTACTTCTTCTTCCTCCCTCCTCATCCCCCATCTACAGCCACAACCTGATGATCTGCAGCAGGGGTTTGCAGATTTCTGACTTGTCAGATCTATTTTGGATGACGATGATGATGAACTATAATCCTAAGATCTACCAAGCAGAACCAGGTGGGAAAGACTTTCAAATAGACTGAGAGACCTTGGTGCCTCTGAGTGGAACTGAGCTAAACTGAGAAGTACTCTCTTGGTTAGCTTTCTTCATTTCCGCAGTCCAATTCAGCAGAAGAAGCAATTTTGTTGCTCTCAATGCCCAATGATTGGGAGTTTGAAACCCTTTCTGGTCTACTGCAAATCAGCTACACAACTCCCAGTAGCTCCTGATCAACCTTATTTTAGGGTTGCCATATTTTAAATAGTGAAAATCCAGACAGAAATGTTGTTGAGCCATTTTTATGGGAAATCAGCAAAAATGACACTGTTGACATGGGTTGCTATACGTCCAGATTTTGCCAGATATTTCTGCCAATTTCCACCCAGACACCACTACCAACTACAATATTCCATATACGTCCAGGGAATTTCAGACCTATGTCACCCCTACTGATCTACAGCATTTGTTCACTGATTATGGTTTTGAAACTGTAAGACAATTGACCCAAGAGGCTTAGAGAGGACAATAGGAGGAGGGGACTGTGGCATATAATCCAAACTTTACAAAGTGACTTCTGATTTGTCCTGAAAACAAAGTAATACCCCTTTTGTGCACATTTTCTCCCATTATCAACATTTTTGTACACTTTTTTTTGGTTTAGTAAAACCCTCCAGATTATTCACACAAGAAAGACTAGCCTCATTCTACAATATAAATGGAAGGCAACTTGCCTGAAACAGTGAAAAACGGCTGTGTAAAAATACTCACTTTAGCATATGAACAAGATGCAGTCTGATGTTCCTTTTAGTTCCATTTCATTTAATGAGAGACCCTAGGTGCTCTTCTTCTTTGCTGTATCCATCTAGTGGTGAATGACCATCTATCCTCTTTTTAATTGTCTAACAGCACATTCGTAAGACTCAGAAGTAAGTCCCCCTGAGTTCGAAATGACTTTGCTGAATCACTGCATTGAAAGGAAGGAACCTCAAAGGTCATTTGGTCTTCAGCCCTTGTGGCTGAAGTGTCACACTTCCCGCAAACCACTTCAGGTAGTATTAGCTTAATCTACCATTAGCTTAATCCATTTTGGAAGCATATAGAAATGGCAATATTGTTGTTCCAGGGAAACAACTGAGACAGTATGAAACGGTCAGTCCGCACTTTCCCTGCTTACCAGTGTTTTAAGCATGAATTTTGGGGAGCTTAAATGAACATTCTCTTCAATAAGAGATCACAACATGTAGGGGTGTTTTCCTCCTAAAATAAAAAGGTAAAGGTAAAGGTACCCCTGCCCGTACGGGCCAGTCTTGACAGACTCTAGGGTTGTGCGCCCATCTCACTCAAGAGGCCGAGGGCCAGCGCTGTCCGGAGACACTTCCGGGTCATGTGGCCAGCGTGACAAAGCTGCATCTGGCGAGCCAGCGCAGCACACGGAAACGCCGTTTACCTTCCCGCCAGTAAGCGGTCCCTATTTATCTACTTGCACCCGGGGGTGCTTTCGAACTGCTAGGTTGGCAGGCGCTGGGACCGAGCAACGGGAGCGCACCCCGCCACGGGGATTCGAACCGCCGACCTTTCGATCGGCAAGCCCTAGGCGCTGAGGCTTTTACCCACAGCGCCACCCGCGTCCCCTGACCTAAAATAGTTTTATACAAATGCTGTTTCTGTGGAGTTGATTGATAGCAAATGTGTAGGCAGAATGGATTGGAAGGAAAGGGAATGAGACAGAAAATGCCTTCTTACTGACAGGAGAGACATTATTCCAAAAGTATTTAGAGGAAAAATGGGAAGTGAGGTGAGTCCACAAGTTGAACAAGAAGTCAATGTTCAATTTGTACTCTACAGAAAAATCTGAAGCTTCTTCTCACCTAAAATCTCATCCCTCCTCCCCTTCTGCAGCCTACTTTCTCAATCCGTTGTGTGTTCACTTTCCTAAGATGATTCTATTCATCTTCTCTAGGGATGCAATCAGAAGAACATTCCAAGGCAAGGCTTACTTGTTAACAGGAAGCTAAGGGATTCCATTATTTGTCACCCTACAAGGTGAAGCACATCTACCACTGAATTTAATGAGACTTCAGGACAGAAGTTCAGTGGTAGGGCGCATATTGTGCATGCTAAAGGTCCCAGGTTTTGCCCCTTGGGATCTCCTGACAGGGCTGACGTTAGAGTTATGGTTATGGTTGCATTGGAGCAAGGAGAAAACCTCTTTCTGAAGCTTTGGGAATCTTTTGCCAATCACTGTGGGCAATACTGAGCCAGATGGACCAAGGATCTGACTTGGTGAAAGGCAGCTTCCTGTATTTCTATGCTTTTTAGCAAATTTGTATATTTTCCAGTCATCATGCCAAGGCTTGCATCTACGTAGTTCCCGCACTGTGTCTATACATAACAAAAATTCTGAATTTTATTATTTCCTTTCTTGTGTGTACGTTCTGCCTTTCTTCCATCATGGAATCCAAGGTGGTGTGTGCATATGGTTCTCAAGTGGTAATCCATCTAACCACTGACCAGACACAGACCTACTTAGTTTCAGTGGTGGTATCATGTGCCTTCATATGGCATTGCCCTTGATTAAAAAAAACACAAAAACTACAAAGTTATATGCAGCTGCATCAGACCAAAATTCCTGTTAGAAGAAGAAGAGGAGTTTGGATTTGATATCCCGCTTTATCACTACCTGAAGGAGTCTCAAAGCGGCTAACATTCTTCTTTCCCTTCCTCCCCCACAACAAACACTCTGTGAGGTGAGTGGGGCTGAGAGACTTCAGAGAAGTGTGACTGGCCCAAGGTCACCCAGCAGCTGCATGTGGAGGAGTGGAGACGCAAACCCGGTTCCCCAGATTACAAGTCTACTGCTCTTAAGCACTATACCACACTGGCTCTCCACACTGGCTTGATGGATCAGTGTTAGAACATTGATCCATCAAGCTCAGTGTTGTCTTCAATGAGCACCTGTCAGTCAGTGAAGACCATTCTGAACTAGATGGACCAACGACCTGTCTCAGGATAAGACAGCTTCCTGTGTAGCCCATAATCTTGTAGCCTACACTAAGTAGTCCAGGGATGGGGGACATTTTTCAGCCCAAAGGTCACATTCAATGCTGGGCAGCCCTCTCAGAGCCACATACCAATGATGCGTCAGCTAAGAGTGTTAAGTGGATGGAGCCATGAATGTTAATTTTACCACTGTACACACAGACACCTCCATCCTCCATCCAGTTTAGCAAGAGACTTTATCAGGGTTCAGGGATACATTGCAGCTGGGGGGAAACACTCAAGAAGGTTGTGAAGCAGGATTGGTTGGGGGGTGGCCTGAAAATAGTCCTAAGGGCCAGAAAGGGACATGAAGCGCTGCTGTCAGTCATTGGGCCTGAGGTTCACCACCCCTGGACTCTGCCTCAGCAACAATACTCTTTTGTTGTTCTGTGATTTCCCTCCCTCATATCCTTATGAAGCAATCTAAAAACCACTTGTCACACCAGTGAGCTCCAGAAGTTTAGTATTTTGTGAAAAAGTATTTTATCTGGTATGTTCTAAATCTGCTACCAGTCAATATCAGGGTGACCTAGGTTGTTATAGCAGTGTCCTTACCCAGGAGAAGCCTAGTCATGGTCAGTTCATTTATGTTAGGGATAGAAAACTGGTGGCCCCCTAAATGTTGCTCCCGCAATCCCTGACCACCAGGTCAAACTGACTGGTACTGATGAGAGCTCATGTCCAGCAATGTAAGCAGGTCCAGAAGTTCTGCTTCCTTAATTTATATACCTCATTTCACACATGCATCATGTTCAAAGTGTTTTGTTTTGTTTTTTTAATAAAAAATAGAGAATTTAACTTCATCTGCTATTGCCTTTCCTCCTTTTAATGACAGTGATTACACACTTACTCCCAAGCAAAACAATTGGATGTTGTTTCATTTCATTTCATTCTCTCCTTGATCCTCTGAGTCACCTCCAAACTTGTTTAAAAGGGCCTTTTTCCCTCCATGGATCTCAAATTTTTGGAGTACAGTGGTACCTTGGGTTACAGATGCTTCAGGTTACAGACGCTTCAGGTTACAGACTCCGCTAACCCAGAAATAGTACCTCGGGTTAAGAACTTTGCTTCAGGATGAGAACAGAAATTTTGGGGTGGCAGCAGCAGCAGGAGGCCCCATTAGCTAAAGTGGTACCTCAGGTTAAGAACAGTTTCAGATTAAGAATGGACCTCCAGAACGAATTAAGTTCTTAACCCGAGGTACCACTGTAATCAACACCTTGTATTGCCTCAACACATCTTTCAGTTCCTGCTTCACAGTGCCATTTTTCAATGTTTCCCCAGCACCCTAACCCAGAAGAAGCCTGATTGTAGTCAGTTTATTCATATCAGGGACAGGGAACATGTGGCTCTCTAAATGTTGCTCCCACAATCCCTGACCACTGAGGCCTTATTGACCATCACTGATGAGAATTCTTGCCAGGCAATGTCAGCTAATCCACAAGTTCACCTTCCTCGAGTTACGTACTGCATTTCACACAGATTCACCATGTTTAAAGTGGGGGGGCATTTTTAAAAGGAAATAGAGATTTCCAAACAATATGAAAGACATTACATATTTTTAATAAATGCATTCCAAATACCATTGTATTTACCCATATACCACCAGCATCTAAAAGCAATCCATTCATACGTTGCAAGAGTTGTCATATCTTTGGTCTGTTGTTCAAAGGGGACCATGGTATTATCTTTCCAATCATAGATTCGAAGAGTTGAAAGGGGCCCAAGTCTCATCTAGTCCAAACCCTTGCAATGATCGGTATCAGTTTTTGGCAGAAGTTAGGGCATGGAGAGTCCATCTACATTTATATGCTGTCAAACTTCATATAAGAGGTGTATGGTTTAAAATAATAATATCTGAGAATTTTAAATCCCCCCCCCAAAAAAAGGTATATATACAGTATTACATTTAAACCTATATTTTGTATCCTATCACAATTTCAAGTTTTCTTCTTTTTCTTTTTGTCATTTTTCTTTTCTATTCATTCACTTTATTTTCTCGCTGAAAAGTTTCAATAAAGCATAAAAAATAAAAAATTACACAAATAAAATAGAGAATTTATCTACATCTGTCATTGGCTCTCCTCCCTTCAATCACAGTGACTACACAGTCTCAAACAAAACAATTGGATGTTGTTTTAGCTTCTTCCATTTTCCCCTTGTGCCTATGAATCACCTCCAAACTTACTTAAATGGGCCTTTTCTTTTGCAAGGAGCCCCAAGCTTTTTGAGTGACCAACACCTTGTATTGTCTCAACACATCTTTCAGTGCCTGCTTCACAGTGTCATTTTTCAATGTGAAGATAAATGGGTTCAGAAAGGGGCAGACGATGGTGGCAGGCACTTTGTGAACTTCCAAGGTCTCTTTCTGGGAAGGTGTAACATAGATGAAGATGCTGATGCTGCAGGAGATGGAGATTATAGTCAGGTGTGAAGCACAGGTGTTGAAAGCCTTGGCCCGGCCAGTGGTGCTGGAGATGTGCATTACCGCTGAGATGATGAACATGTAGGAAAACAGAGTCACAGTTAATGAGCATATGATGACAACAGCAGACAGAAAAAAGTCCATCAGCTCAATGAAACTGGTATCGCTGCACGACAGTTCCAGCAGTGGACCGCTGTCACAAAAGAAATGATTGATGACGTTGGACCTACAGAATGACAATCTGGTGATCAGGATGGTGGGAAAGAGGACCGAGAGGAATCCACCCAGCCAGGAACCCACCAGCATTTGAATGCACGCCTGGCTGTTCATAATGGCATGATACTGCAGGGGTTTGCAGATGGCAGCATATCGGTCAAAGGACATGGAAGTCAAGAGGATGAACTCCACCGTGCCCAGAAAGAAGTAGAAATAGGATTGGGTCATGCAGCCAGCAAAAGAAATGGATTTGTCGTTGGAAAAGAGGTTCCACAGCAACTGTGGGCTGATGGCCGAGGTGAAGAAGATATCTAGGGCAGCAAAGTTGCCAAGGAAGAAGTACATTGGGGTGTGGAGCCGGCTATCCACCAACACCACAAAGAGGATGACCATGTTGCCCAGCACGGTCACAACGTAGAGCACCAAAAAGAAGAGGGCGAGAAGGATCTCTTCGTGGCGGTCAATGGAGAAGCCCAGCAAGATGAATTCAGACACGCTCTGGTTCTCCATCAGACTTTCCCCTCGTCACTCTCAGCACATTTTCTTGAAGGAACAGTAGAATGGTGAGAGTCAGAACTTTGAACCCAAAACACAGTTGGTGCTTTACAATCCTTATTCATCTTTCCCACCACACTTTTTAGGCAATTATTTGGGATGGGATATAAATCTACTAAGTGACTAATCAAATACACAGTTATGACAAACACCAACATTTACTTACTGTAGCAAGCAAAAATCCAGTCATGTCCAATACTGGATTTGTAGGCATGGTTGCAAGGAAGATGCTTCTAGATACTCAATGTTATTTTGTGTTCTGTCAAGAAACCTGCTGTCTGTCTATCAAACTGGATTTGTAAAATACTCCATTCTTCAACCCTCTTTGATCTCAGCTGTCCATGTTTTCTTAAAAGATGAACTCTTCCTCCTGCCATGCTCTGTGGCAAGTAACCCACCCATTTGTAGTTAGAATTGAATTGTTCCCAATGTGTGCAAATGAGAGAGGACAGGCTTGAGGAATCCCATTTAGTAATGCATTGAGAGTGTGAAATCATTAGTGGGGCTCTAGAGAGACAGACTCCAGGGATATTGTTAGAATAATTCTCTAATACAAAAGTTGATGTGGTAGTCGATGAAACGGGAATTTCATTTAGTTCTTTTGAACCAGTTCCTTTGTAATGAAATCATCATCATCATCCTATTCTCCCTTTTACCAATGTACTGTGTTGAAATGAGTGTTCAATTTCAGGTGGAGAGTTCTGGACTCAAAAAAACGTTCTTCTGTGAAATGCACTGGGTGGCCTTGGGATAATCACTATGTGTATCTCAGCCGAACTTACATCACAGGGATCCTGAGTGGAAAGGAGCATTGGAATAGAAAACAGCCCTGTTGCATCAAGTCAAAGGCCCATCTAGTCAAGAATTGTGTTCTCACTGTGGCCAGCCAGATACCCATAGGAATAACTGTACAATAGAATGTGAACACAACACAAGTTGTCATTCCCAGTGACTGGTGTTCAGGTGCATACTGCCTCTGATGGTGGGGGCAGAACATAGACACTGTGGATAGTCAATAGCCCTTGGTAGTCTTCATGAGTTTGTCTATTCCTCTTTTAAAGCTATCCATTTGCTCAGTCATGATGCTCACTCTTCTGGGAGCAACTTCATTAAAATGGAAAACTGGGAGCAGGGGGTCAAAGCCTTGCAGCAGTGTCAGACAGAAAGAAGATGAGTTATTCTCTGGCTCAAATCAAGATCCAAGCCAGAGAAGAACTCAGGGGATTATAGTGTTCCAACTTACGTTCAAGATGAGTTTTATGGGTTACTGAGAATCATAAGCCAAATGAAGGAATATTCATATCATGTCTCTAATATTTTGTCAGATGAATAGAATGAGAGGTGATGAGAATTCAGTGCTGTGAATCAGTGAAAAGCATAGCAGTCAACTAGATGGAATAAATATCCCAGCATTTGATTGTTGGAGAACTGGACCTGGGAGAAAGGGTTAACTTGCTTTATAAGCACAAGTCACTCTCATTTACTGATGGGAAATATTTACAGCCGAGGGGCTGCTGTGTACTACAAGATGTTTAAAAGTTTCTATGCACTGCTGTTGTTTATTCTGGAGGTACTCAAAAGTATGCAGTACCAGCACTTTTTTTCTATTAAAAAGTACTGTTTATAAGTGTGGAACTTACTGGGGGAGGGGGAGTGGACACAGGTGGCACTGTCGTCTTAACCACTGAGTCTCTTGGGCTTGCTGATCAGCAGTTCAAATCTGCAGAATGGGGTGAGGTCCCATTGCTCTATCCCAACTTCTGCCAACCTAGAAGTTCAGAAGCATGCCAGTGCAAGTAGATAAATTGGTACCGCTGCAGCGGGAAGGTAAACAGCATTTCCATGAGCTCTGGCTCTTGTCACAGTGTCCTGTTGCACCAGAAGTGGTTTAGTCATGCTGGCCACATGACCCGGAAAGCTGTCTGTGGATAAATGCCGGCTCCCTCGGCCTGAAAGCGAGATGAACACCGCACCCATAGTTAAGTTTGACTGGACTTAACCGCCCAGGGGTCCTTTACCTTCTCACTTATTGCAACAACTGCATGCTGAGTGCCAGCACCGTTTTGTTTTTCTAGTAGAAAAGCTCTTATTCTATATGTATGTTTTGAATACCAATAAAGTGTCTTAAATAGCCACATGTGTGCAGACCAGGATATAAAATACCACCAGCACCCCACAAAGAATGCCTATACATGCACCATACAAGATTTGGGCATGCAAACTTTAAATCAGTTCAAATTAACATAAATGTCATTTTGTGAAAGTTAGCAAGAATATCTATGACAGTCTTCCACCTCAAATTCTTCCCTTGAGAGATTCTTCTCCTTTCCCTCTCCCGCTACCTGTAATTCCAGGCCAGCATTTCTTGTACATCAGCAACTGTGCCTGACACACACACAAAATCACTCATTTTGTGCGTTGACCACAAGGGGACAGTCCTTTTCAGTGTACTCAGTTCACACTTTCAGCTACTCTTCTGGACCATTCAACATGTGTGAATCATGGTCTGGGGCTAGGGTCTGACAGTACACAGTGCAGCAACTATGTTGAAGCTAAGCAAGTCCAGGTCTGGTCAGTGCCTAGATGGGAGACTTCCTGGAAACCATATGAATGCTGAATGGAGTTTAAGACATTTGAGATGTAAAATGCATTTATTAACCTAGAATTAGAAGTAAATAAATGGAACTGAAAGTGATTCTTGGGTTACATTGAGTAAATCATCTTGCTCTGGGGAAGAAAGAAGAATATACTTGTTTCATAAATAGAAATTAGTCCAACATTGCCTTGAAGGTACTCAGTGAAGGAGCTCCTGTCCTTCCCTGTGGAAATGTAGCAGGACCCCCAAGACCTACATCCGGTCACACCAGCAGCTTCACATCTCACCCGCCACAATTTTGTGAAAGTTCTTCCCAGTCTTTTCCTTTACTTCTTCCTTGAGGCACAGTCCTCTCTTCCTTGCAACATCTCGAAGGGCTTCCTTCACCTTCTCATTCCGCAGGGTGTAGATGAAGGGGTTGAGCGATGGGGCCACCACACTAGTCAAAAGAGCCACCACTTTGTCCACCCTTTCGGTATAGGTGTGTGTGGTGCGGACATGCATGAAGATGTGGCTGCCGTAGACGATGGTGACCACAACCATGTGGGAGGCGCAAGTGGAGAAGGCCTTGCTTCGACCTTGCACGGAGGGGATCCTCAGAACAGCCAGGGTGATCAAACAATAGGAGATGACAGTCAGAACCAAGGATCCGAGGATGAGCCCCCCAGCCAGAACCAAGTTGATGGTCTCCACCCATTCGGTGTCGGTGCAAGCCAGGTTCACCAAGGGCGTGCGGTCGCAGAAGAAATGGTTGATGACGTTGGAGTCACAGTAGGGTAGACCAGTGACCATGATGAGCGGGCCAAGGATAGTGAAGAAGGCTGCTACCCATGTCCCACAGACCAGCTTAAGGCAGAACTTCCTGGTCATCAGTGCTGGGTAGCGCAAGGGGTTGCACACGGCTTGATAGCGGTCAAAGGACATGACTCCTAAAAGCAAGAACTCCGTAGCCCCGAGGAGAAAGTAGAAGTAACATTGAGTCATGCAACCAACGAAGGAGATGGTGTGGCTTCCCCAGAGGAACCCGGCCAAAAGCTTAGGCACCGTCACCGTCGTGAACCAAATTTCTGCAAAGGAGAAATTGCGGAGGAAGAAGTACATGGGGCTCTGCAGGCGATGGTCGGACAGAGTGATGCAGATGATGACCGTGTTCCCTGAGAGTGTGATGAGGTAGTTGGTCAACACCAGGAAGAAGAGAAGCAACTGCGTGGAAGGTTCTGTGGGGAAGCCCACCAGGTAGAACTCCCGCACAGCTGAAGAATTGGCATAAGGCATGGATGGATAGTCAACTCTGGTCTTTTCTGCAGGGGCAAAACAAAATTCGCAAATGACATTCAACGCCGGGTGGGGGAGAAATCAGATTGCGTTCACATTTAAAGGAGGAATGATTGAATTTGAGTTTCCTGAAACTTTGCCCTCGTACAGTGGTACCTCGGGTTACGTACTTAATTTGTTCTGGAGGTCTGTTCTTAACCTGAAACTGTTCTTAACCTGAAGCACCACTTTAGCTAATGGGGCCTCCTGCTGCCGCCGTGCCATCGGAGCACGTTTTCTGTTTTCATCCTGAAGCAAAGTTCTTAACCCGAGGTATTATTACTGGGTTAGCGGAGTCTGTAACCTGAAGTGTATGTAACCTGAAGCATATGTAACCCGAGGTACCACTGTATATGCATTTTGGTACACATTACTGGGCTGAAGAATTGCGTTGCAAATTTCAGAGAAGTATGGCTGTGCTTCGAATCACATTTCATTCTAGAAAGTGCACATTGGGCAGGTTTACCTTTAAATGTGAATTGAATGGGTTTCTGCCCCATCCCTTGCTGAGCCCCAGCTCTCTAACGAAGATCTATTCTACCTTCAAGAGGCTTAGGATTCTCTGCTTGGTTTTGTGTGCTCACTAACAGTGTCAAGGGAGCCTGATGATTTGGAGGGAGCAGAATCCAAACTGTACATATTTTACACTCTGACTCTAAGTACACCCCTGCAGATGTTCATCCCATTGAAATCAATGGCATTACCTCAGCCAAGAGGATAAAAACTTTACAAAAGAATGGGAAAAAAATATAAACTATTTAGGAGACCACTGTAAGCAGAAGGAAACATTAGCGGGATTTTGATTTCATTTGTTGTGTACCAATTAGCATGGATAATTATGGATTGATATAAAAGTTGGAGTATCAAAGAATATGCAGTATTAAATGTTTAAAATTGGACCCCATGGAGGAGATGAGGGGAAGTCCTGAGATTCAGAGGAATCTCTGTTTGGATAACTTTGTATTTGTAAAACCAAATAAAAATGTTTTTTGTGGTTTTTTTTTTAAAAAAGGAGAAATCAATGGCATTACCCCTAACTGATGATGTGAGGAGCTTCTAGCAGGCCATGTCATTACGACATTCCAATGAAATATATATCACATTGCCCATTATAATCCCTTACCTCAAACCCCTTACCTCAAACAGGTGTGTATTCTACAGCATGGAGCACATATATATATTGTAGAATTTGGGGGTGGGGGAGGTTGTTTTTTGTTTTGGCGTGTTTAAACTACAATTTTATTTGTACAGCCCCAGAGAGCTCTTTGATCAAGTAAATGTGGCTCCTTTTTTTGTTTTGTTTTGTTGAGCCAGTAAATGTGTTAGCACATCGGTAGGCAAACTAAGGCCCGGGGGCTGGATCCGGCTCAATTGCCTTCTACTTTCATCGCACTGTTCCAACACCTGATGAAAACCTTTGGATTTGTGCAAACCAAACCTGATTTTATGTGCATTTGCACTTAAACTCTGTTGGTTTTAGTTGTATTTTGATCCTTTTATTATGTCTATTGTTCTGCAAGTCTGCTTTTATTGCTAGATATATTTTAGGATTGTTTTTAGTCATTTTAGTAAACCATATATCTCTTTCTGAGTAAAGACCAAAATACAATTCTGCCTCACAGGACCACACAATATTCTGCCTCACAATATTGATCTAATAATTCATCAATGTGGTAAGAGTTTTCTTACCATGTTGTAAAGAAAGGATTGAGTGGGAGTAGGCCATTTCAAGATTCCCCATAAACTCCTGGGTTGATCGCCAGCCAGGGTGGGTCACACCAGAAGAGCAGGCATGTCCAAAGTCTGTTTTGGGGGCCACCTTTATGCAGCCCCTGTGGCAGTTTATTTATATCCCCAGAAAAGCTCAACAATTTCAATCCTAAAAAAAGCTCAACAACTTTGGGGTAAAATCATAAAAAACACCCCCTGCACTAGAAAGACCATAGCATTTCCACATACCTACCCTAGTGCTCACAGCCAAGATCACCCCTTGGAAGCCTGCTTTCTCTTCCATCACAGAGGCTGGGTGAGCAAGGTCAGAAGCAAGGCGATGTCTTGACAAAAGAGAAAAATGATGATGAACTGTGTGCATACGAGAGACACAAGAATTAGAATGGGGCTCAGCATCAGCATCTTAATGCTTTGGTGAGGATCGTTTCCCTGATTTCAGAAGCGTTTAAAGGAAGCAATTCTCCGGGGGCAGAAATCCCAATAGAAAAGTGGCTGTTGAAAAAAGATGAAGTATGTAAAGCTAATCTAGGATTCATTGGCCCGAGATGTTGACATGATAAACTTATTGCTTGAATGTGCAGAAGCTCTCTGCATTTAAGTGATCAGAGCCCTTAAGCTACAGTTCCATGAAAATATTAAATATTTCATACTGTATATAGCTATCAAGGATAGCTTCAAGGATGGATGGTTCTATTCCACCCACCCCCCACTGCATTATATATTCACAACACCCCTGTGAGGTAGATTGGATTGAGAGACAATGTGGATTTCATCACGTGTTTTAAGATCAGATTGGTGTTTGGTTTGGCTAGGAATCCAGCATTTCCTTAGTACTTTGCCCAGCTTAAGCCCATGGTAAATACAGTGACAAAGAGGGTATGAAACCAGGAGAAATATTCATGGTGGACTGCACAGTTTCTTGTGTAGGCTTGAAGATGCTCGAGAACTGGAGTTTTAACTCTGTAACAGAGCTAGGAAGACCACAGTGCCACGCTTCAGAGAGCTGTGTCCTCCATCACAGTTTCACAGAATTCCATGCAGTCCCAGAGGACGCGGGTGGCGCTGTGGGTTAAACCACAGAGCCTAGGACTTGCTGATCAGAAGGTCGGTGGTTCGAATCCCCACAACAGGGTGAGCTCCCATTGCTCGGTCCCTGCTCCTGCCAACCTAGCAGTTCGAAAGCACATCAATGTGCAAGTAGATAAATAGGTACCGCTCTGCTGGGAAGGTAAACGGAGTTTCTGTGCGCTGCTCTGGTTCGCCAGAAGCAGCTTAGTCATGCTAGCCACACGAGCCGGAAGCTGTACGCTGGCTCCCTTGGCCAATAAAGCGAGATGAGCGCCACAACCCCAGAGTTGGCCACGACTGGACCTAATGGTCAGGGGTCCCTTTACCTTTACCTTTTACCAGAGGCAAAGCACTCTGGGAAATAAAGATGGTGGCCAAAATGACACAAGAAACTAAGAAAAGCCCTGCTAGATCAAGCCAAAGGCTCATTTAGTCCAGCACCCTGTTCTTCACAGTGGCCAACCAGAATCCTGAACACAGGATGTGAGGAAAGGATGTGGTATTTTCAGAGGCATAAGACTTAGAAAAGTGGAGGGAGAACATAGGCATCGTGGTACATAGCCATTGATATCCATGATGGACTGTCTAGCGATTTGCTCTGCAATGCACTAACTTGGTTTTTAAAAAAGAGGAAAGACATTGTGGTTGACTGCCACTAATGGGATGAAGTTATTTGGGGATGCCCTTGTGCCATACTGGTGCCACTGGTTCCACACAACAAAACAGTCCTTTGTGTTACATCAGCATCTTGCAATAAGCTGCCTTATGGTCCATTGTATTTAACATTCAATGCTTTTACACCTTGCATTGATGTATCCATTGGGGTCTAATAATTTATAATAATATTTTATTATTTATACCCCACCCATCAGGCTGGGTTTCCCCAGCCACTCTGGGCGGCTCCCAACAGAATAATAATAATAATAATAATAATAATAATAGCGATAAAACATCAAACATTAAAAACTTCTCTAAACAGGGCTGCCTTCAGATGTCTTCTAAAAGTCAGATAGTTGTTTATTTCCTTGACATCTGATGGGAGGGTATTCCACAGGGCGGGCGCCACCACCAAGAAGGCCCTCTGCCTGGTTCCCTTCAACCTCACTTCTCACAGGTAGGGAACCACCAGAAGGCCCTCAGAGCTGGACCTCAGTGTCCAGGTAGAACGATAGGGGTGGAGACACTCCTTCAGGTATACTGGACTGAGACTGTAAATGGGGATAAATGGTGTTGGACTCCAGGAAATCAAAGTTGCTCAAATTCAGCTCAGAGTCTCCGCTTGACCTCGTGATGCTATCTACAGTTGAAATGTACCACCTTTCTGGAATCACTAGAGTAGTAAGTTCCTTTGAACTATGCTGGATGTTGCACCTGAGAATATAATTAGTAATGAGCTACAAAACTTTGGTCTAAGATCCTCATTCCCTTAAGAAATTGCCCAATTAAACTTTGTGGTGAACTTCTTTTAAACAAAAAACAAAAAAAACAGGACTGGGAGCTAGCAGCTCATAGACCTAATTAAGAGCAAGGGATCCCCTGGGTCAAAGAATATCCCTGGACAGGTGATCCTCTCCTTAATTAGAAGGAGTTTGTTTTTTCCCCAGTCCCCCTTGGTTTATTTTAGGGAAAAAGGAGAGTTTCCACAGATTTTAAAAGTCCCACCTAAGCATGGTTCTGCTTCCCCCTCCCACTGTCTACTGATGAAATAATCCTATTTCTTTTATGTTTCTTTCTATCACTGCCAACAAACTGCTAGTAGAATAAGCATCCGCTGTCCTAAGCCACCCCTAATAAGGTGAGGGCTAGTAGACTTGTTCGTGATGCACAGCAGTTAGGCATGTATTGCTTCAAAACACTTTGGCCCTGACTTTCATTAAAAATATATTCAAAATACAGTGGTACCTTGGGTTACATACGCTTCAGGTTACAGACTCCGCTAACCCAGAAATATTACCTCGGGTTAAGAACTTTGCTTCAGGATAAGAACAGAAATCATGCTCCGGCAGCGTGGCGGCAGCAGGAGGTCCCATTAGCTAAAGCGGTGCTTCAGGTTAAGAACAGTTTCAGGTTAAAAATGGACCTCTGGAACGAATTAAGTACTTAACCCGAGGTACCACTGTATATTCAATTGCATATATTTGTGTGCACCTCACTGTGTTTACCCAGGGTTGGGTGTCCATGGAATGAAGGTCTAACGTTTGGCCTATTTTCCTCCATCCTAGAATGAGTGGCGTATCACCAGGTGATGCGGAAAAGGGGCTCAATTTTAAGATGCTGATGATGGATACTTAGCTGAGCAGCTAAGGCCACTAGGTAACAAATAAGTCTTCCTATATGATGATGGTGGTGATGATGATGATGATGATGATGATGATGCCACATATCTGACTGGTTTGCCCAAGCCACTCTAGGCAACTTCCAGTAAATTGTAAAACCTCAAACATTAACACCTTCCCTACGCACGGCTGCATTCAAATGTCTTCTAAAAGTCCGTTGTTATTCTGTTTGACATCTACCAAGAAGGCCTTCTACCTGGTTCCTGGTAACCTCACTTCTCTCAATGAGGGAATTGCCAGAAGGCCCTCGGATTTAGATCTCAGGCTGACCAATGGGGCTGGAGATTGGTTCAGCATCCTATTCTGAACCTCTCTGGGAAGAAGATCACAGGCATAGAAGGGAGCTATGGTTATCATCAAGACTGACCCTCCAAACCTTTAACAATACCAGTGGTACCTCGATTAAGAACTTAATTCGTTCTGGAGGTCCGTTCTTAACCTGAAACTGTTCTTAACCTGAGGTACCACTTTAGCTAATGGGGCCTCCTGCTGCCGCTGCATGATTTCTGTTCTCATCCTGAGGTCAAATTCTTAACCCGAGGTACTACTTCCGGGTTAGCGGAGTCTGTAACCCGAAGTGTTTATAACCCAAGGTGTTTGACCGTACACCCATATACAGCCCACATCTTCAGCGCCAGGAACAGCAGCACAGCATTCCGCTGGAACAGGTCCTGGTGCAATGGACTCGCATTTGCTATTGTGACCACCTCAAAAGCAGCAGAGAAACGGAAACAAAACTGTGGAGGTTTTGTTGCATACCTAATTTTATTTCTGCTGATTAAACAAATAAAAGAACATAACAAACACGTACGAGAGAGTCAGCTCTCTCATACTGCCATCTAGTCTCTAGACAGATCAAAGAATACAGGCACAATGCTAGGGACGGAAGTCTGGAAGAATGGTCTCAGCCCCCTCCTTTCTCAGAGACAGAAAGTAAAACAAACATGATTTGGTGATCTTTGCAATGGGAGGGATGAAAATACTGACAGGGTTTTATAATATATAAAGGATATAAAGACAATATGGCATTAGTGACATAGTTGAAAGGAATATGTAAAAAATGTTTTATAAGAATAAGGGTGAAAAAGCTAGAATAACATTATGTTAAATTTAAACAAAATGATATAAAGGGAAAAATTGGAGACATAATAGTTGAAATGTATAACATAGAATAAGATTTGAAAAAGGGTAAGGCACTGCTGAATACGATTGTGTAAAAGGGAACACAGAAAAGGGAGATGTGAGGAAGTCAGGAAGGAGGGTTATGAAAACAATAAGTAAGAAACTGGATTTTTATGTCTTTTTTATGTCTCTTTTCTTCTACTTTTTATGTTTTGTATTGCATTTTTCTGTTTTTATTTGATTGTAATAATGTTCTTTTTTCTTTGTTCTTTTTTTTTGGTTTTGATTGTGAAGTTTTTTTTTTATTGTTTAAAATCTCAATAAATATCTTTAAAAAAGAAAAAAAGAAAATACTGACAGGGTTTTTAACCCAAGGTACCACTGTATGTGTTTCTGTTTTTCACAACTGACATAGCCATGGTTGGAATAAGGAGACACAAAGGCATGCCATGAGATGCTTCTACCAGATGTTTCATTTTATTCTCCCCTCTGGGTGCCATGGTCAAGGTTGAGGTGGGGCAAGGGATGCCCTTCTGCCATGATCATGCCATTAGCCAGGTATCGGAGGGGAGGAGGGGGAGGTGGACCCACAGCATCGTCTCTTGGGACCTCATACCACGTGGGGGGAGGCAAGTCTTCTTCTGCCACCATGGAAGAGACGAGGTTCCCCATCAAGCGGTGATACCTGTAGTTCTCTTCGCGCTCGCCCCCATCTCCGGCCACCCACAACGTTAAGGAGGACAGTGGAGGACAAGATCTCTGAGCCGCCTGGCGGAGACGGGCACCTCTACGTCCCCAGGAAGACAGCATCTCCTTTCGAATGGGGTCCAGGTCTTGGTAGAATATCTCACTAGGGGCAAGCGATATTTCTTTGGGCTGGAACAAAAGGTTTGAGGTGAAATGGCACCCTTTTTTAGGCAGAGTAGGGAGAGACAATCAAGAACAATAGCAAATTGCAAGGTACAGTGGACCCTCGAGTTACATACCACTCTGGATACGTAACTTGTGGATTGCGAGTGTGGTAAACCTGGAAGTGTATACTTCCGGGTTTCACCGGGCATGCATGTGCAGAAGCACTCTATCGCACCACACGCGTGTGCAGAAAAGGGCGCCTCCAGTTACGGACTTTTCAGGTTAAGTACGGACCCCCGGAATGAATTTAATTCGCATCTGGAGGGTCCACTGTATTTGACATCCTTGTTTCCCTTTGGAAATCCTGGTGGTTAAATGGAAATAGACAAATGGGGGCCATGTTCAGCGCCATCCAGTGGGTAAACTGTATAATGACACTTATCCATGCATACACAATGGTCCATATCAAGAAAGGTTTTGAAAGTGTGACATGCCTAATGGTAGGCCACATTCATGGATGGGTTTGACTTTGTTAATAATAATAATAATAATAATAATAATAATAATAATAATAATAAATAAAAATACACCACCCATCTGGGTTTTGCCAGCCACTCTGGACAGCTTCCAGCAAAATATATAAAATAATAAAATGTCAAACGTTAAAAACTTCCCGATACAGGGCTGCCCTCAGGTGCATTCTAAAGTTGTATAGTTCTTAACTCCTTGACATCTGAAGGGAGGGCATTCCACAGGTTGGGTGCCACTACCGAGAAGGCCCTCTGCATGGTTCCCTGTAACTTCACTTCTCACAGTGAGGGAACTAGCAGAAGACCGTCCAGGCTGAATCATGGAGGTGGAGACACTCCTTCTTCAGGTATACTGTTTCATAGTGATTTCTCTTCTTTTCATGGTATTGATTGAAAAGTGTCTGTACTTGTTTCAGAGTACGAATGCAATCATTTCAGTTTGTTACAAAATCACTTATGCTGTTATAAGGAAGGTGAGTGAACTATATGCTAGATTGAGTCTGGCCTAATTTGAAATGAAACCATTCCACTTCATTTTAGACACACATACACTCTTCAAGAATTGAGGCGAGCAATGGGTGTTAAGGAAGTGGTGTTTTTAACTTGAAATAATCAACATGAGTGGGAGTCACCTTCATGTAAATAGGTGCATAGGACAGCCCAATAAATGCACTTTGACCTTCTCTTTAACAATAAATTGCAGCCTCTAGTGATATTCAGTTTAACTCAAAGCAGACTAATTGCAGCAAGAGAAGAGGGGGGGGGGAGAAAAATCCTGACTTGGGTCCTCCTGACAAATGTGCTTCAAAAATTAAATGATATGTTCTCATGCTTCTCATGTTTATGCATCTTCTGTTAAAGATCTTCATTTGAAGGTCCTTTTTTTAAAATGCAAAATACTAAATTCACCATTAGTATTGTTGCTTCATACCTTCTGTGAAGACCACCAATGTTCGACTGTGCATCTCCCGCAATCACAAATTTCTTGCCCCTTTCTAAAATTGATTTACTGGTGTGTGTGTGTGGTATTTTCCCTTTTTGTAAATCTAGCAAAGAATAAAATGAAATCAGAATTAAGTTTTTCTCAGCACTCGCCCTTCTTGTGAGAGGAACTGTTCTGTGGGGGCACACAGAAAAAGGAGGGTCAAGGCACATCGGTCAAGCCTGCCCCCTTGCACCCCATGACTGAGGGAGCTTTTTTAAGGATTGAAGTTGTTGAGGTTTATGAAAGATTTTACCACAGGAAATAAACTGCCAAAGGGGCCAGATTAAACCGACCGACGGGCCCCCGAAACGGACTTTGGACATTCTTGATCTAGGGTGAGAATGTGGCCTAAGAAGCTATTACAGTGGTGCCCCGCAAGACGAACGCCTCGCAAGACGGAAAACCCGCTAGACGAAAGGGTTTTCCGTTTTGGAGGCGCTTCGCAAAACGAATTTCCCTATGGGCTTCCTTCGCAAGACGAAAGCCCATAGGGAAATCTCCGGGACAGCGGGGAAGCGCAGCGCGTCTTCCCCACTGTCCTCGGACCTCCTCCGAAGGCTGGCGGCGGGGCGGAGAGACCTCCTCCCGCCGCCAGCCTTCGTTTCTCCGCTATCCCGGACGGCTTTTGAAGGCAGGCGGGGGGGGGGAGCAAAGACTTTCGCCCCCCGCCGGCCTTCAGAAGAGGTCCAGGACCTCTTCTGAAGGCCGGTGGGGGGCAAAAGTCTTTGCTCCCCCCTGCCTGCCTTCCCGGGGGCTTTTAAATCACCCCGGACAGCGGAGAAGTCCTCCGCTGTCCGGGGTTTTTTAAAATGCTGGGGGTGGGAAGAAAAGCCCTTGTGCCCCCCCAAGCCTTCAGAAGAGGTCGGGGGACAGACTGTCCCCGGACCTGGTCTGAAGTCGGTTTCCATAGGAACGCATTGATTGATTTTCAATGCATTCCTATGGGAAACCGTGCTTCGCAAGACGAAAAACTCGCAAGAAGAAAAAACTTGCAGAACGAATTAATTTCGTCTTGCGAGGCACCACTGTATTAATTATTATTATTATTATTATTATTATTATTATTATTGAATTTATATACCACCCTTTACCTTGAGGTCCCAGGGCAGTTCATAGAACAAAACCAAAATATAAAACCACAAAACATATAATCAAAAGAAAAAAACAACTCCATAACACGCCCCCCAACTCCAACCTCCCCCCCCCAGACATTTAAAAAGGGCATAGGGTGTCAATCAGATCAACCAAAGGCCTGGTTAAAAAGGAATGTTTTTGCCTGGTGCCTACAGGTGTATAATGAAGGCGAACTTCCCTGGGGAAAGAATCCCACAGACAGGGAGCCACTGCAGAGAAGGCCCCGTTCTCGTGCTTCCACCCTCCGGACCTCTCAAGGAGGCGGCACATGAAGAAGGCCCTTGAGACCCAACAGCCCTGCAATGCCACTTCCATACCCCAATACTCACTGCCCATTGGCCTCTCCGAAAGAACTTCATCAACCCCTGACTTCCCCTGTCTGGTTTCTCCGACTTAGGTTCTTCATCGCCTGTTGCCTCCAGCTTCCTTCCGGAGGCCCAGTTCCCCATTCCAGGGGGCTCACCCCCCTCTTGCTGGGAGATGCCCTTCTCCCCTTTCTCCGGCTTTCCCCTATGTGGCCACCACCACTGGGGCTGAAGGCTGTGGTGGGGATGGAGCCATTGTGACCTCAGCTGGTTGCTGCCAAGGAGACCTTGAGACCTATGGCCTTGACTCCAACCTCTTCAGGAGCTTGTCGGACCAACACAATCCTTATTTTTATTTTGCCTGAAGAGCAGGAGTGAGGAACTTTTTACTGCCTGAGGGCCACCTTCTCTTCTGAGAGACCTTCCACACACCAAGGGCCAGAGGCAAACGTGGGCGGGTGATTATGCAAATGTTACTCTGGTTTAGGAGGCTGCTTTCAATGCATCTCTCTTTATCCTCATAGAACCATAGAGCTGGAAGGTCACCTAGCCCCAACTCCTTGCAATGCAGGGATCTCAACTGGAGATTCATCCAGGCAAGCAAAGTTCAAGGACACAATCCAGCCATGGGAAACTCCACTTGGGGGCAGTGAGAGATGCATCCTTGGGAGAACTCTAAAGACCAAATAGGGACATTCCCTAGCCCTGCTTTTAGGGGATGACCTATGTCATGGAAGTCTGAGGGTGAAGGAAGGTGAGGACAGGTGACCTCACCTAGGCCCGAAGTCACCCCCACCCCCAAGCAGGCTCAAAGCTTCTCAGAGCTTTTCAAAATCATTTTTCTCAGCAGCTAAAAGGCATTAGCTAAGCATCAGAAACATTCCGCTTGCTGTAACTAAAAAGATTGCAACAAGGTAGAGAACGGAGCCCATTGTCTTCTCAGGCCTTTCTCAGAACCACATTGCAACTTGCTTTCTCTCCGGGAACCATGCCAAAGCACAAGAATGAAACAACGGGAACACTCTGAAAACCCCCTCACCCCCTTTCCTGCCAAGAGTCCACAATAGTCCCAAGACAGCTTTCTGTACATGCTCAGGAACCTCAACATGGGGCAGGACTCCTGAGGGAGGAGAAAGGAGGAGGGAACTAGAAGGGTATATATGCTTGTGCACATGATTGTGAACTTGTGCATGCTTTTGTGGACTATCACACTTGCTCCTTCTACCAGTTCATGGATGGTAGAAATAAAAGCCTTTTCTCCGAACCTATTCCTTGAGTGTCTGTTGACTCCCACTTCCCTTTCCCAGGCGCAATATTTTTCCCACCCGAGGGCAAAGCCTCATAAGGCTACAAGGGGACATTTCCAAACTGTCTTCAAAGGCAGCCCCACCTATAACACATTTCCACAATCCAACCTAACAACAGCAACAACAACAACAGCATTTTATTTATACCCCGCCCTTCCCAGTTCAAAAACCGGGCTCAGGGTGGCTAACAACAAATTTAAAACACTTAATCGTAAAAGCAGCATAAAATACAGTATAAAAACATGAATAACAATAAAATTGAAAATTCAGAAATCAGTTTAGGGGAAATAAGCATTAGATAATCCCCAGGGCTAGTTGGCTGAATTGGTCCTACTTGGGTAAACCTAGAGTTTACCAGAGTCTGTACAAGAGAAAGTAGACCGTTGGCCCTCAGGACTCAAACCCCTCACTCTCCTTGCGTGTTTTTGGCCTGGCTGGAATGCGTTATTGAACTCTGAAAATAGCTCTTGCTTGTCTGGAAGGAACATAGGGAGGGCAAGGTACAGTGGTGCCTCGCAAGACGAAATTAATCCGTTCCGCGAGTCTCTTCGTCTTGCGAAGCACGGCTATTAGCGGCTTAGCGGCTATTAGCAGCTTAGCGGCTTAGCGGCTATTAATGGCTTAGCGGCTTAGCGGCTATTAACGGCTTAGCGGCTTTAAGAAAAAGGAAACAAACTCGCAAGAACTCGCAAGATGTTTCGTCTTGCGAAGCAAGCCCATAGGGAAATTCGTCTTGTGGAATGACTCAAAAAACGGAAAACCCTTTCGTCTAGCGAGTTTTTCGTCTTGCGAGGCATTCGTCTTGCGGGGCACCACTGTATGTGTAGAAACTAGTCTACTGTACAAAGTTTGCCCCATTTTGCTACTGGCCCTTCTGACTACTTCATGTGGCCCCTCAAAATGTTTGTGACCCTTGATCCCCACCTTTGGTGTGAAAACACCTCACCACAAAATGTATGGCGGGGGACCTCCCTTCTTACCGACCAACAATGTAATCAAAATGGCCTGGAATGAAGACTTAGCTCTCAGATCTTTATTGTCCAGCAAAACGCACAATTTACCCCTTCAAAATTCACCCCCTACAGCCCCTCAGAACATTGTCAGGTTTTTCCATCGGCGCTTGATCTCACGAGCTGCTTGATCCAGCCACCACTCTGCGTACATGACCTCCTGGAGCCAGAGCTGGAACTTCTCCCATTCGTAGGAATTCTTGAAATCCTGAGACGTCAGCTCCAAAAGAGCCGCCTCCAGCCTACGGAGCGTGGCACTGGAAAGTCGCAGGTTCCGATAGCGGAAATTCTCTTTCCAGCCTCTGACTTGCCCCTGTAACACAGAGTTGGTTACGCAACAGGGTTACACTTTCATTTCTTACCACCTGTGGCAGGGCTACCAGGGGCAGATTAAGACCTTTAGAGGCCTTAAGTACTTAAAGGATTTTGGTGCCCCCGTATATATCTAATTCAAAACATAAACAATAATAAACCATAAAATAATATTTTATTTTTCGAAATGAAATGAAAGCTATGGTAGGATGGAAAATAATGTGGTGGGTTGTTTTTTTTTTGTATACTTCCACTTTATTAATTTTTTTAATTTCCCTCCCTAAAGGTAAAGGTAAAGGTACCCCTGCCCGTACGGGCCAGTCTTGACAGACTCTGGGGTTGTGCGCCCATCTCACTCTAGAGGCCGGGGGCCAGCGCTGTCCGGAGACACTTCCGGGTCACGTGGCCAGCGTGACATCGCTGCTCTGGCAAGCCAGAGCCGCACACGAAAACACCGTTTACCTTCCCGCTTATAAGCGGTCCCTATTTATCTACTTGCACCCGGGGGTGCTTTCGAACTGCTAGGTTGGCAGGCGCTGGGACCGAGCAACGGGAGCGCACCCCGCTGCGGGGATTCGAACCGCCGACCTTTCGATCGGCAAGCCCTAGGCGCTGAGGCTTTTACCCACAGCGCCACCCGCGTCCCCATTTCCCTCCCTACGTTTTCTAATTGCAAAGTCTTTGATCAGATCTTCAGGGTACAGGGTTATAAAGACTAGGACTAGCCGCCTGAGAAACAGTTTCTATTCAAATGAGATTTTGGTTTTAAACGCAGTGTAAGGTGGTCTCTATGGGAGTATATTGTATTTAATTATGGGGTACCATAGTTTTTAGGGGGCTAACCAGGCTGGGATAGCTGGGATAGCATGCTTGTTGGTTTCTGAATGTCTGGTGTAGATTTTCAATTTCGTTGTTCTGTATGGGACAATGACAATAAAGATTATCGTATCGTATCTTCAAAACAAAACTTACATAACACATCTGCTTCTATACTTAGTAAAGAATTCAGCCTGCCTCATTGCATAGTTCTTCTGTTTTAATGTAATGGAACCTCGGTTTTCAAACGTAATCCGACCCGGAAGACCGTTTGACTTCTGAAATGTTCAAAAACCGAAGCAGTTATTTCCAGGTTTCTGGCGTTCGAAAGCCGAAATGTTCGACTCCCTAGACGATTGAAAACCGAGGTTCCACTGTATATTTCAAATGAGAAAACAAATGGCTCCACTGAGCAATTTGCTTCACCCCGCCCCACAGCCAGCACAGCACACAACATGGAGTTGGAGCTGTTTCGGAGGCAAATGTCAAAACAGCACCATCAAAATAAATAAATAAAGTGCAATGGAACGGGGTCCTTTGGCCTAAAATGGCAAGACAGGCTGGGGTGGAGGCCTGTCTACCCCCTTCTATGGATATGGCAGCTGCCAGTGTGAAATGGGGGGGGGCAATGGGAAATCTGTCCCCTTCCCAGTCCTCAGAAATGGCACAATCCAGTGTGATCCAGAAGATCCTCAACAGCAGACACAAAGGTGCCCTTCCACCAGCAGGGGGCAGCACAGAATCATCACAGAACAATAGACCCGTAGCACTGAGAGGTTCCCCCCAGGGTCATCTCGTCTAACCCCCTGCAATGCAGTTGCCCGGTTCCACTGAGCAGTTTGTGACTATTTATGTTAAAAATCCAGCAATGGAAAATTTCTGTGGTGCTCCTCTTCCCTCGATGCCCTAATCATGTGCTTATCTTGCTAATCCAATTCAGCGGCGACAGCCAGCATGTGGCGGGGTGTTGGTGGCAAGAGGCCGGGCACCCACAAAATTTTTTGTATGGGTGCCCCCAAGCCCCCCTGGAGTTAGCACCCTATCAAAAGTAAGTGTACTTTTGATAATAAAGAGTTACTGTATTTTCTGTGTATAAGACGCCCCCATGTATAAGATGACCCCTATTTTTTAAACCCAAAATTAAGAATTTTTTTCACTTTTAGGGGGAGTGGGGGAGGTCACTTCCACCAATCGCTCACCCACCTGCCCGCCACTGCTGACCCCTTGCCACAGCCACTGCCAATCACACATCTCACCGCAGCCGCCAACTGTCTGCCCGCTCGCCGCCACCAACAGCCCACCCGCCCACTTGCCGCAGCTGCCAATCATCTGCCTGCCTCGCCACAGCCACCAATCACCCACCCAATCGCCGCTGCCATTCCCCTGCTTGCTGCTGCCATTAATCACACACACCCCCTCTGAATTCACTATCCGTGTATAAGACGACACTCAATTTTTGCCTAATTTTTTTTTTTAGCAAAAAGCATTGTCTTACACATGGAAAAATTCGGTAATTCCTCTGGACACCCCTTGCCTGATGGCGCCATGACAGGCATTAACTCTGAATTGATATTGGTTGGGGAGTAGAAATAATTCCTTGAATGAGATTGGCTGCACCAACAAGCAAACTTTAATCTTACATTGACTGAGCATAATAATATCCACATAGAAAGCTACTGTTGGGGCCATAGCTCAGTGGTAGAGCATTTGCCTTGGATGTCAAAGGTCCCAAGTTCAATCCCCAACAGCTGGGAGAGACCTTTGTCCAAAACTCAGAAGTGACCCTGCCAGTCAACATGGCCAGAAGTGTGCTAGATCAGCCATCTTCAAACTTGGATCTCTATATGTCGTTGGACTCCTATCATCACCGACCGTTGGCTAAGCTTTCTGGGGATCAGAGTTGCAGTGCAGCAATATCTGGGGACTCAAGGTTGAAGAGCAATGAGCTAGATCAGGGGTTCTCAACCT